TGGACTCTTCCCTGTTAGTGACCTGAGGATTGACTGGTGATGCCTGAAAAACATCTGTCCCCGGCTCTGACTCATCCAAGCTAAGAGTGAATCTCAGAAGTCTCAGGTTTCTTCAGGAAGTTGAATTCATGAGATCAGGTTGAGGTGACTTTTCTCTGCTGTAAGAATGAATAATTGCCCACAACAAAGCAAACATGCTGTAATCCTATATTTATAACAGAAGTATATGTTTTTGGTGATTGGGCACATGGAAGTCAAGATATTTTATAGCCATTTTTCTCCACTAAAATTTTGAAAAAAGTTCAAGTGTGCAGCATTAGAAAATACACTAAAACAGATGACTATTTCTTGATCTGAGAAAAACCAAGACTCAGAAGGAGCATGATTAAGGTTAAATGATTCTAATGGGTACTGACGTGACCAACACCGATATCTCCTAATAATGGACTTCGGAACTATAGGAAGCTTACTAAAAAATGTCCTCTGCTAGAGTAAGGGTTCACAGGCTGGAAACATAAATAAGGATGAAGGTTCCGTAAAGGTACAGGTTTTAACAGTGGTGAACGTTTAGTGGGTTCCTTCCATGTGCAAGTTCATTACCACATTATCTCAGTAAATCTTCGTAACAACTTTAGCGGGGAGGTCTTTCTATTTATCCCCTTTACACAGATTTGGAAACTGGAAGCTCAGATAGGTTATATAATTTGTCCAAGGTCACACAGGCCAGAAATGGTGGAGCTGGGGTTGATGATTGATGGCTCCTTCACAGGTATTAGGAAAGGCCCAGGGGGTGTGGGAACCATTCCTTGTTCCTTAAGATTGCGTCAACAATATTGTAATAACTGTGCATGGTGTCAGCGGGGTACTAGACTTATTGAGGTGATCACTTTGTAAATTATATATTGCGTACCTGAAGTTAATATAATATTTTATGTCAACTGTAATTGAAAAAAAATTTTTTAAAGATTATTGACCCTTTTGAAATTACTTATACTATAAACTAGTGATCCCGATGTGGCAGTTCTTGTGTTTTATTTTTCTTTGGTAACCCTTTCTCTCTGAGGAGGACATGATTGTAGAGTCTTAGGATGGTGACCTCGGAGATCGGCTGGCCTGCAGCCTGCCCTCTGAGACAGGCAACAGCAGCAAGACAGAGAGAGCTGCTCCCCGTGTAGGGACAGTGAGAACTTATTTTTGTTAACCTTGGATATCTTCAGGAAGGACCTCTGCTAAAAGTAAAACTATCCTTTAATAGACTGTTCTGACAGTCAGGAAGTTTATGTAAAAGCTAAAACCTCACTGACATAACTGCTTTTATAGGGGAAGTTAGCAAATGACTAATTACTATTTCTTGTAAAATTCCATTATTCACTCAAGCCACCCTGGAAACTTCATTCAGTGGTTGTTTATTGAGCACCTACTGTGTGGCAGCCTTATACTGGATTGTGCTGGCTGTGACCTTGGAAATCTTCAAGAATAACACTAAGCCACCCAGCCACCCTGAATAGCTTAGAGACAAAATTTTAAAGTTTTGAATAATAATGATGATTTTCACTCACTCTATATTTTTTAATGCTTACGCAACTCTCTGAGATAGTACTGTATTATCATACCCATTTTACAGACGAGGAAATTAAAGCTCAGCAGCAACATTAAGAAACATTCCCCATATTACGCAGCAGGGCCTTGATGATGTGAGCTCCTAAAGAAAATAAGTTTTAATATAGTACTTTATAGTTATCCAAATGCTTTTACTTATACTATTTCATCTAATTTGTAAGCCAAATGATAGTAGTTATTATTATATTCATTTTACAAATAGCAATAATCACTTCTATTTATTATATACTTAATATTGCCAAGAGTACCAGATAACTTGTATAAGGCCTAGTTCATGCAGTGCTCACAACAACTCTAATAAGTATCATTATTCCCATTTCATAGATGAGCCACTGAGGCCCCAAAAGTTTAAGGGACTTGATTAGCTCAGTGGGGAGCTGTGATTCAAGCCTCGGCTTGTCTGCCCAGCCACGTACATGTAACCACTTTGCTGTGTTCACTTTACCACGTTACGTTGCCTCATTTTCCACATGGGGAAACTAAGGTACAGAGAGCATGCTAACACAGCTGAGGCCATACAGCTTATAAACAGCAGAGCTGGACTCCAGCTCGGGTCCTTTCCCTACTTACTCCCCAGCACTGGGCTGCCTTTCTGCACAAGCACTGAAAGGCTGTAGCTTACATCCAAGTTAAGTTCCCTCATTCCTTTGTGCTATGTTTAACTTTAATAATTTTAGTCATTCTTTACATTTCTTTGTATTTTTCCCCATTTTGGGCCAGGGAGCCCCCCATACTACCGGTAACAACATGTGACAGTAGAGGCCACGCTACTTGCTCAGGAAGTCATTTGGCGAGGTTAGGTTAGAACTCAAATCCAAATTTGAGTCCTCTGTGTCCAACTCAGCTCTGTGGTTCTTGACCTTTTTTTCTATTGAAAATGTTGCTTGAAAGAAGGCCTTGCCTTTATTAGATTGCTTCTGGTGCTGTAAGGAATGCATCTTTTTCCATCTGAAGATCATTTACCATTTCTCTGAACAGTGAATTACATTCATGGTTAAAGCTAGGAAGTCAGTATCAGATATATAACAAGGACCACTCACTCAGATTTGAAATGTTGCCAATCTATACACTCTCAGCCTTGAACATTTTAAAGTACAAAAGTTCATTACTTTAACGATCAAGTATCATTTAGATTTCTGAAGGAAAAGTTTACAGTAACCATTTATAGTACTAATATTCAAATTGCAAACTCAGGTAAATGTTTCTTAAAATTGAATTGGGTGAAATTTTTCTATATATTTGTTGATAGAGTAAATATCAGATAAATATCCAGATGTTTCTAATTATTTTGCCTCAAGAAAAGTATGTCCTATTTAGACAGTCTTTAAATAAATTGTTTCTAAATTGAACAAATAAACAAGAGATAGCTGAAACTAAACGGCTTTGACTGTATAGAAACACGGAGAGGCTGTAAAAGTGGAATTATCTCAGAAAAACCTGTCTTGTTATTCTCACTTTTATTTTTAGAGATAAACCTGAATTGACTATTCAAAGATATTAATAGTTTTTGAAAATTAAACTTTGCTTATTTAGAGGCTGATAGGTGATGTGGGAGTAATTTTAAACCTGTTACAAATGTATTAACGCCAATGCAGATATGTTTTAACCATGGGACAATCTCTATGTCACCCAGGGGTTTTTTTCTCAAAGAGAAAAATTAATACTTACTGAGTGCCTCCTACGTTAGTCCTCTCTTCATTGTTTTTCCATGTAGTTCTCACATCCCTGTGATTTAGATATTATTATTCCACTACCCCCTTTTACAGATGAGGAAACTGAGGCTCAGTCACTGAGTAATTAACTGAAGATCACAGTTAGAAAGGAGAAGTCTCAGAACTTGAACCTAATTCTGAACATTCCATATTCCAGAGTCTATGGATATTCTAATACACAAAGCTGTCTTGTGAATGGCCTGGTATCTTAGAATTTTAAAATTAACAAAAAATTTTTAAATGAACAAAAATGTTAAAAGTTAGCAAAAAAAAATGTTAAGAGAAATTGCTTGTAATTCTATTTGATTAGCCCTCAAGTAAGAACAAAACAGTTTTAAATATACACTTTTTTTTTTGCCCGGGAAGCATAGAGCAAGTTTACCTTTTTTCTTGTGTAGACTGAAGCTCTAGATAAATCTGCTTGGCCGTGGTGTGCGTTCGTGCCTCCAAGAAACTCCGTAGAGATGCCTCAGGAAATGTGTTAGTGCTCAGCAGTTAACCCTAACAAGGTGGCTGCCCGTTATTTTTATTATTACAGTGACTGTAGGTAACACCAGGTTACAGTCAAAACGTGACATCTTTTAAAAACAGATTCCAATCTGATGAAAGACTTTTTCCTGTTCTTCTGTTTTGGGTCATTTTCTTACTGTCTGGATAGTGATGAAGCTTTTCAGTTCTTAATAGTAGTTGACTTTGAAATTAACTTTTGTCTTTTTATAATGTTATTTTCTAGAGTAACTTTATCATGAGAATAATATAACCAGCTCTTGTCCCTTCTGTTCTTCTCATATGCTGCCTCCCCGTTCTCATCTCTACCCCCAACCTCCTGTTAACCTCCATGCCCGAAAGTGCCATCCTATGCTAAAATTATGGAATCACGCACTTTAAAAATAAAAAATGCATGTCTGAAAGAGTAGCTGGATATGCAGCAGTAAAAAAGCAGCAGTCGCCCTGGCTGGTTTGGCTCAGCGGTTAGAGTGTCGGCCTGCGGTCCAGAGAGACTCTGGTTCGGTTCCCGCTAAGGGCATGTATCTCGGTTGCAGTTTGTCCCCAGCCCTGGTTGGTCATGCGGGTGGCAGCTACTCAATGTGCCCCTTTCACATCGATGTTTCTCTCTCTCTCTTCCTCTCTCTCCCTCCCACTCTATCTGAACAAAACATGGAAAAAAATGTCCTCGGGTGAGGATTTAAAAAAAAAGCAACAGTCTACCTGTTCTTTAACTAAGTTAATTGCCAAAAAAGTATTAAGCTTTAAAAAAATAAGTAATACATGTTCTCTGGAGTAAATTAGAAAATACAGAAAATAAATACAATGGAATTCAGCTTTGTAAAGATTACTGAAGCAGATTGTTTTCTAATGACTATTAGACTTTTCAAATAGAAATATTTATGTGAGAGACAAGTAGTCCTATGTGTGATTCATTTTGTTACTTTCATTGACACTCAAAGTTTGTATAGCTTTGTGCTATACAGGGCCTGAGAAGATGGGGTTGTAGGGAATAAATAGACTCTGTGTGTGTGTGTGTGTGTGTATGTATATGTATATATGTATGTGTGTACATACACACACACACACACACACACGTATATCCCCCCACCTCCCATTTTATCCTAAATTTGGGTTGCATGTTTTAAGCTGGTATGCTAAAGACTTTTTTCTTTTTCCCAGACCCGAGGCAGGCACAGTCTTCCCCACCGTGGTCCTATGACCAGTCTTACCCCTCCTACCTGAGCCAGATGACGTCCCCGTCCATTCATTCCACCACCCCGCTGTCTTCCACACGGGGCACTGGGCTTCCTGCCATCACCGACGTGCCCAGGCGCATTTCAGGTAAAGACCACAGTTTACTGAAAACCCACTCCCATGCAGGGGTGGGGTTGGGGTTGCAGGATGGGCCAAGTCTATTTTATCTATGCTCACAGTCACTACTAGACGCATGTGGGCACGGGTTTGACAACTGGCAGATGGGGTCTTCTGCTTTATGGGGTTATCAGATATTCTAACATTTTAAATCGAGACTGAAAGTCCTCCAGAGATGGCATAAGATTCTTAAGCTGATACTTAATGCCACCTAGTTTTGGTCCTGCTTAATTGTATTCCCATTGGTGGGCACTGTGTCATAACTAGGGCCTTCTCCTGAGGGTCTTATGCCACGCCTTCCTCTGCTTGTGTTCCTTTCTTTTCCTAACATCTGCCTGTAAACCAAAGGACAGAGTTATGGCTCAGCCCTCCATCTCTAAAGGCTTTTAAGTCCCAGGAGTCCAAGCTAACCAGTTTCAAGAGAAAGACCTGCAAATTTAAGATCCTGATCAGAAACGAGTTGTTTGAAGTGAAGCGAGGCCTGCAAGAGTCTTAAAAGGCGCCGTATGGCTTCCGAGCAGCCACCTTAAGACAAGGCAGCCCCTCTGTGAACCACATGGCGCAGTGCTGTCGGGCCAGCCCCCGTGCTCACACGTCCACTATTCCAAAGGCATCACAGAAGTCCGTGGCTCATGGCAGGAGCGCGTGGGGTGTAAACAACCTGGCTGCCTCTCCATCATGGAGAATTCCTCCTAGAGAGCCAGAACGTGTCCACGAAGACTTCAAACTGACAAGTCGAGTTAAAGGCTCTTGGCCAACCATATGAGTCCCGTGAATAAGAAGTAAATCTCTCAGTACTTCCCCACTGTGCATACTATAGCATTGCCCCACCCCCATAAATAAAGAAGCAGACCCCCAGAGGCACACAGTTGGATCCTGTATTTGTCAGACACTTCTCAGCGTTCGGGCTCCATGCACCTGTTTGACTCCTGGCCAGGTTAATGCCTTTCTTTCTTTCTCTTTGTGTTTCTGTCTCTGTTTCTCTCCCTCTCTCGTTTTCTGCAAAGCTCGAAGCCGTTACTCACTCCGCTGAGTTGCATCACTGACAAGCTGAAGCTCCAGCAGCAGGCTTGCAGGTTTTGATTAGTTCAGACTCCTTTATTTCTTTGAACTTGGGAGGAGGGAAGGCTTTGTTTCTCAAGCAAGTAGCAGAAAAGGGCTCTCTCTGGTCCTAGTGCCTTCACATTTTCTACTGCAGATGGACTCCCGTAGGGGTGAGTAGGGAAGGAAGAGGGGTGGAGGGAGAACCACAAGATTCTTTGGAAAACCATGTCACCATGTTTCATTACGGCTTCTGTTTTCACGCATCACATGCTGTTTATTGAGGAATTGTGCAGTGACTAGAACCTGAGTTCGCATTTCCCTCGACTGGAATGACTCATTCATTTAGGCAGATCTCGATGGAAGGCACAGGCAAGGGCACGTGAGGCACAGGGATAACAGAGGCTGAGGTGCAGTCAAAGACGCAGTTTTCAATGGTGTTGAGTCAGTTCTGGTCATTCTTTTTGTGCTTTATACTGAGCGCTTTGTTTTGCACAGGGCCAACATGACACTGTATCGGGACAGATTTGTGCCAGCTTGCTTCTGTTTAGGGTCCCCTGGGTTCCACCTGCCCAACTTGTGTGGCTGAAGCCGAGTTTGCTGTTTGTCCTCCGGCAGTGCCTGGAGGAAACACCTCGGGAGTGATGGCAGCTGTAGGGGCTCCTCCACGCTCCTGCTCCCTGAGGTCTGTTTGTACAGGAATCCAATGGGAAGGCCACTGAAAATGACACTGAAAAATGTTTATCACTTACATGTGTCACACAGAACAGCCAGATTATTTTGCATCTATTTACCGATCATTACTTAAAACATTTCCATAAACAGAGGACGCGGTGGGAACAAAACTGGTTAATTGATCTGAGGCCAAAGGTAGGAACGAGCCTCCGCTTTAAACTAGTTTAAAACTGAGCTTAGTCCAGTTTTTTCCTCCCACCCCAAACATTTCTATGAGTTGTTACTGGCAAAGTTACACGGTGCCAGGGTGGGAGGTTCTGTATAAACATCCAAGTGAGGAGAACAGAAAATCCCTTTGGTCAGCATGGGGAAACAGGAAGAGAGAACTAGATGTGGACTGTCAGGGACTGGAAGAACCCTGATATACCTGCCCTCGCTCTTGGGAGTGGGGCCGTGCCCACACCCCAGCGTGTACCTGGGGGACTGGGGGACCAAGTTGTCTGGAACGAGCACCATTTTCACTGCCCTGGCGACAGTCCTAGGCACCTCCTTGGAGAGGAGCCTGTCTCGTGGTGCCAGGGTGCATAGCTTCTGTTTCATCAGGATTCCCCTCGGGATCTGTAGCTACCCCTACGGTCCAGGACCCGGTTTCTCTGCGACACAGACAGCTCCAGTATTAGCCTTCGTCTCCGGCTCCAAGCAGTCAGCGTGCACTTTTTACAGTGCTTCCCAGGCAGGTCGCAGTTTAGTGCGGAGGAGTCAGTTCCCATCTCGCTGTGGGAAGGGTTACACAGTGTCCTCGTACTCCATGGGCGAGAAAGTAAATTCCTCACTCACGTACAATAGGATTGGACGTTCAGACTCAGGTTTGCATTCTCCAGTTTCTTCTCTGAAACTTAGCTTTATTATTTGTAAAATAGGTAATATTTCTCTTAGGGTTACTGTGAGGATTTAAATGAGATGTTTTATGGAAAGTGCTCAGGAGAAGCCTGACCCACATTATGTGCTAAGCAGATTGTAGCTGATATTATGAAGCTAATACTGTTTTGCAAAAATTGTATGTCTGTATATACTTTGCAGGCAAGCCCTGGCTTAAATATATCAAGTAGATAAACATCTAAACTTTCAAAAGGTATTATTGCTTTATAAAATGGGTCACACCTCAGAGCATATTTAAAATAAAAACCTTTGAAATGCGTTAATATTCATACGCATTCTTAAAGCATTTAGCACTATGCCTGGCACATAGAAGTATCCAGTAAATGTTTGTCATTATTATCATTATTATTCTATAGATTTATCATGAATATTTATAGAGCTAAAGCAACTGGGAGCCATTCACATAAAGTCAGTAAAGCACTAAAAGAAAATAACTATTCAATTACAATATTGGAAAATAGAAAATCTTCAGTTACACTTATATGGAACTGGGCATGATAATGTTCTTTTCCAAGAGAACGTAGGAATAAAAGCAACCAGAAAGCTCTTTCAGAAAGAAGTATCCCTAAAGAAATTCCATTTCATCCTAAAACCCCGTGCTAGAGAAAGACCATGATTTAATCTGGGAAAAGACCTTCAGAGATCCAATTTTATAAGTTTGTTTTTGGTATCCTTTCTTCTGAGTAGTTTTTCAAGTGTGGCTATAAATGCTAGAACTGAATGAATTACAATAATGACAATGATATTGTATTATATATTCCTGAGTGTCCCTCAAATCCTTTATGGAAGCAAGGTGTAAATTAAAAAAAAAACACTATAATGGTATGTTATCTAAGATCTCTACTTTACTGCAAAGAAAGAGATACAACCAGATGTCTTGAAGCTCATAGTTGCAATATAAAATTCAGGAAATATTTTCTTGACCTTGAATTGAATAGCCTTAAATATTATTACAAGAACAAAAGCAGCAGTTGTAGGTTTATGACTGATCAATAAATTATTGTCATGTAATTGACTAATGAGGCATTACTGTGCAGAAGCAGCCCTGTAGCTATTGGTCCCCCTTCCCCACCACACTTACTGCGGTAAGTGTGGCCTTATCACATGGTAATCTATGTAAGTAGCACTCCCCACCCTGAGTGATTTTGTATATTATCTCATTTTATCTTACATGCTTTTAAAAGAATATTCACTATACAGAGGTAGGCAAAGTGAAAGAGCAAGGTGTGGCAAGGCAGGACCAGTAAACCCGACAACCACCCAGACCACTGCCTGCCTTTGTCATCGAAATAATGTTACCACCCATGGCTTTTGTTTTTTATTCTCACCTGAGGACATTTTTGCATTCATCTTCAGATAGAGCAGGTGGGAGAGAGGGAGGAAGAGAGAGAGAGAGAGAGAAACATCGATATGAGAGAGACACATCGAGTGGCTGCCACACACAGCACCCCAACTGGGGCTGGGCACAAACTGCAACCGAGGTACGTGCCCTTAGCGGGAACTGAACCTGGGACTCTCTGGTCGGCAGGCCGACGCTCTAACCAAGGAGCCAAACCGGCCAAGGCCACCCATGGCATTTTTGATATTCAGAGCACTTGTGAGGCTTGACACAAAGATTATAATTACTTTTCGGGAGGTCATTAAAAAATACAGTGTAAATAAATAATTACTAACTTCCAAAATGTATTTTGTGTAATTACCCTGCTATGAAAAGAAGTACCCTGTGTATTGAGTCGGATTCTTTGACTTCGGGGTCACATTAGGAGCTCTTGTCAGCCTGCTAAAGGAGAGCATACATAGGTTCACTCATTGCAAATACCTCCTCCTCTGTCCCACCCACCTGAGTGAAGTCGCTCAGATTATCCTAAATCAGTATCACTTTCTGGCATCCACGAGGTAGAAGGAATTTTTTCTGAGTCTTGGTCACTGTGCCATGGGCCTCCCGGTGCTCCCTGGAGGTCTCTTGGAGAGTCGAGGTACAGGAATTAGACGCAAGGGAAGGGTCCTGTGTGTTCCCTGCCTCCGTTACTCTCGGAGAGGCCAGCGCATGTATGGATGAGCCTTCTCTGTATTTGTAGGACCTTTTTTCATGAGACAGTTAAGAACTGTAATTTTTTGGAATGTTAATTTTTTTTTTCTGTTTGAGCAAATAATCTTGAATTTCTTTCAAAATATTTAAATATCAAAAAATTCCACTTCATCAACTACACAGGACATTAAAGATGTCTGTTTTTATGACTCTTAGTCGCTAAGCTATAATATTTTCAAAGGTCAGCAGAATGGGCATCCGTGTAATAAATAAAATTACTGAAGTT